ATTTATTTAACATAGTATAAAAGACTATAATGAAAACCAACAAATATTTCACACATATTCTTTCTTGGGGTCCCTGAAAGACCTTCTACATATGGCAACATGAAAGTCCTGAAGAGAGTTAAACATGAACATTTCCTGGTTTCTTTCTTTCGCTGTGGCAGTAAACGGAAAATGTTTGGGATTGTGGATAAAACAAGATGTTTGAGGACATCAACTTGGGCTTAGGGAAACACTGATCGACATTTTTCTCTGTTTTCTGACATTTCATACAGCGACAGATTGAAAAAAGTAACCGATAGATCAATCAGCAATGGAAGTAGTGTTGCCCCAGTTTTCGCTCCACCGTTGCTGCTGCGGTGCTGCTGCTGCTGCTTGAGTTTGCCTTTGATAATGGTCGACAGTAATAGCGTTTGATTTAATTAAAGTATAATTTTAATTTATATTTAGTTTACCTTCATAATGAGCTAGATAGAAGCAGAGTGTGCACTGGAGAAATACCCTTCACCTACTGTTCCGTTTGCTAATGGACAGAATTGGATCCTGCATGGGGTTTATACTCCGACTAGTGCACTTATAGCCTCCGCTTTCTTCCGCAATTACATGCAAGAGCAAGACGATTTCAAAAAACACTGATATTTTCTTTCATACGTGTTCAGATGCATCCGAGACCTTGAGACTATAATGAAAGGTGTCGTTTATGTAATGCTGCCAGTCTGATGTCGGTGTGATTGTTAACAGATGTTTTCACTGTCTGTCCTCGCTGAGAGCGTGTCACACATGAAAAATAGGCTCCGCGAGAAACTCTACATGACGTGTTGCTGCAGCCTCAGATGGACCGTTCTAACCTGCCAACACGGCCAAAACACACAGAACACTATGTTCTCAGACTTTAAAACTAAACATTGGAAAAGCTGTATGTGTGGTGATGTAGGAACGAGGATATTATTGTACAGGTTTTAACCTTGACATTTAAACACGTCAGGTAAAACTGCAACATTAATCTTATTTCCCTACTGAAAAGCACTTCAGGTCAACTTTTGTTGCTCCTAATTTGCTCTTTAAATGTTGGTGACTTGCCTCCATGTGGGCAGTGAAATGAAAAGCAAGAGGCTCCACATCACAGGTGAGGTATCAACAACGCTGTACAGGCCTTAAGCACAAATGAGCAGTGGGCTGTAGACAGGGCCGGCCTTGACCAATTTGGTGCCCTCGGCAAGACTGTAGGTGGCAGTGAATGTCGCTCTTAATTTTTATACAGTAACACAAACTGTATGCATGTATTCAAGTATTCATGTATCTGTTGAAAGTTCCTGTATTTTTTGATATATTGCAATATATATCACAGTTTTATAAGAAATCACAATGTCAGTTTTTTCCAACATTGTGCAGCCCTTTACATATAGCACCCTATAGCACATGAAGAGGAAGGAAAGCTAAGCATTTTAACAGACAGCAGGGAAAATACATTCAACAGTTTAAAATAAAACCTGAACAGGCCTGATATTGACTTTCTAAATAGCCCTGATTGATTTAGGGTGGTGGTAGCATATTGACGTTATTCAGCTATAGCTATTTAGTGATTATAAACAATGCTGCTATTGTCCAAAACAAGCTAGCATGTTAGCATTGCTCTGACAACAGTAAGTATGATCCATTAACCTAACACGGTTCTCACCAGAAATGTTTGCTAGCGTAGCGGGGGATGTCTTAGCAACACTCTCTGGCTAACTTGCGTGTATTCATGCAAATATTAAACCACAAGCGCTGATGCAGTTTCTCTACCGACATCTTGGTGAAGATGGTTCGCTAACGTCTTTGCTGCTAACGTTAGCAGCTAAGATGCTAATGTAACGTCAGTTAGCTGGGTACAATCAACATGGTGAAATTATCATTTTCCCGCTAAATACCCTCAAAAACAGCATATCGGCACAATTTGCGGCGCAATTTTTTTCAAGCAGCAGCGTAACGGGCCGTTTCTCTGCTATAACACTGGCAACAACCCTGCTTAATCTAATTAATACCATCACATTGACCTTACCATACCTGTGTCTTTTCCCGTGATTCTTCCTCTTATTTCTTATTAGGCGCCACACTATTTTACTCTCTTCATAATGTATAAACCAATGTGAAATCTGCAGCCTAATGCTGCCTGTGCATTCCGGCCACTTCCCTCCTCCTCTTGTGGATGTCGGCGCCTTTAGCATTTGCCTATACTGCCTATGCAAGGGGCGTGGCTGGCTTGATTGACAGTAGCAGCGACCATACAGAGGAAGCGAGCAGAAGGAGGTAAATGTGGGCGGGGCAGAGAGGGCCTGCTTCTCAATCCGTCTGACCAATCGCTGCTCCTATGGCTCCGCCCCCCTCTGACGATTTTTGCGTCACTGGCTCCAAAAATCCAAGATGTCAACCAGGAAGTAACAAAACTCTGGCTTCATTTTCTCAGTGCAGAAACCAACGGGTGACGTCACGGTAGCTAAGTCCATCTTTTACACAGTCTATGCTGGAGACACTAAACACTTCAGTTATAAACTACTACTTTTTATTTTTTTGTTGCCCCTTCCCATATGGAGCAGCAGTACTTTCTGAGCTCTAAAAAAAAGTAGGACTGAGTCTCCAAACTGTACTTAACCACACCTCCCATCATCCTAAATTTGTAAAAATTGAATTTGATCTTCAATAAAATAAAAAAAAGAGGCTCAAGAGTGTCAGTGAGGTGCTATTTCCACTGCTGCTGACAGGTATTACCGGCTGTTTGCCACAGCATAACAAGCCAGCCCAAAGGTATTTGGTCCATCAACATCCAAAGACTGCTTGGACATCCCAGCAGCAGCAGCAAGAGGAGGAGGAGGAGGAGGAGGAGGTGAGGAAGGAGTAGTAGCCTTGTAGTAGTAGGAGAAGAAGGAGGAGGAGGAGGGAGTCTGTTCCGCTTGGATGGCCGGAGCAGCGAGGAGGCTGGTCGGGAGTGGAGACAGACAAGACAAGAGCTCTCTCTCTCTCTCTCTCTCTCCTCCTTCCTTCTCTGGCTTTCTCCTCTTTGCGTGCGTCCCGCTCCGCTCCAGCACGGTTCGAGGAGGGGAGAGAGAGAGAGAGAGAGAGAGAGAGGGAGGGTGAGACTTGACGCATCGGAGCCAGTGCGCACACCGAGGCTTCACTTTCCAATATGCGACCTGCGAGACGCCACGCCGTCAGCTACTTGTGCTACTGACACTAAGAGAGAGAGAGAGAGATAAAGAGAGAGAGAGAGAGAGAGGGGCAGGGATGGTGGTGCCGCACAGAACACCACAGCGCAGCTCGTGAATGTTGCGATACACAAAAGAAAGGCGCAGCATCTTTTTTATTTTTGCGCACAAGTCGGAGACGGAGGGGCTATTTTTGGCCGGGAGCGTCGCCGCCACTCGACAGTGATGTCTGCGTGCACAATTTTTGTTTGGTGACAAAAAATACGGATTAATCTGTGGCTGTGAGTTCCTCGGAGACGCTGCTGCCGCGAGGGCAGGTAAGATTATTATTATTTATTATTATTATGGCATTATTTCTTCCACATGGTGACCAAACTTCAGCATCTCTCAACTTCAATTTCCATCCGCTCCAGCAGTCAGTGGCAGCCCAGGAACAAATGAAGCCCCCCAGTCTTCATCCTAACTTTTTTTTTTCTCTCCAAGATTACAATAAAGCCTGCGTAAAAGGACGCAGCCAGACGGGGATTGCCTTCTCGGAATTTCACCCTCCGCTTATCTCATTTCACTGTGTCTACTTTGTTGTGGGACTATCATGGTGGAAGGAAAGTAATCTGCGAGTGTGTGTGTGTGAGCGTCTCTCCGATCGGTGCAGATGTTTAGTAATCCTCCGGCGTTGACCCTCCCTTCAGTAATCCCTGCGGATTTCACTGATTACGCCTCCGCCGCCTGCGCCTCCGCCGCCGCCGCCGTTGCTGCTGCTGCTGACCACCTACCACGGAATCCGTCTAAAGTCCTGGATGCTGCGGGATTAAGCCCAGGAAAAAAAACTTGAGATCACCCCTAATACAGCTCGTACACATCCTCTAGAATCAGCCTCGAATAGTGGAAGCTACACCCATGTCGGTTCGTGCGCCTTTTGGATAAAAAAAAAGTCACCAGAAACTTCCAAGATTTCCATTCACATTTAGTTCATGTTGCTTGATGGTGCAGATCAGGATAAATCAGCCTCTCTGTCACTCCATCACCGCCTTAATGGTGCTCATCAGTGCATCTGCCAGTCACTACATGAGCTGTCCATGTTGGGAGTGTAATGGCCAGCAAATGCCATATAAACCCCCCTTTTTAATGTGTTTAATAGAGATGAGCATCTGTGCAGTTTCAGCACATCTGAGGTGCCAAACGTCTGCCACTCAAATGATAACTGAGAGCGATTCCTGCAGAGTTTTTCAGCTGTGGAAACATAAAAATAAGCCTTATGTGTGTGTGTGTGTGTGTGTGTGTGTGTGTGTGTAGGCACAGTCAGGTGAAAATGTGTCAGTGTGATGATAACACCAGGCAGAGCAGACCATGTGCTGCACAGGAGCACCAATCTGTTGATGTATGTACATTGTTCGTTCAACATTGTGTGTGTGTGTGTGTGTGATCTTGTCATCTTCCTTGACAAGAGCTGAACTTATTCTAAAGGTTAGCAGAGAGAAAAGAAGAAACGCTTCACCTCAGAAGGCTTCAGGATCGGGGATTATTCTTCAGCTGAGTGTTGATTCAGTGTGCGATATCTCCCCTGAAACAAGAGACTCTCATGAGATCTTAGCATAAATATTTAAGTTTTTTTAATATTTTTTTTAAACGAGCTGGGGAGTGGAGGGTAGCTTGTGCATCTAATTTAACTAACAAATGCCCGAAAACTTTCCACTGAAGGATGCGTAATCAAGATGCTCCAGACGAGCACAATTAACTGCCTGCTGGCTTCAGCTCATGCTACACAAATGTTAATGGTAATTGCTGTGTAATCTTGCCTTTGTTTGACGGGCATCTAATGATATCCGGTGGCTATCCGATGTGGCCGTGGCTCCCACCAGATGCAGCCTCACAGGAAGACAGCCCTTTAATGGTCGGCGACATCCTGGGAGGCGAGTGACAGAGTACAGAAGTGACGTTAAAAGTACCCGGGGAAAGGTGCGCTTCGGAGGCAGCGGCATGAAAATTTCATCGTGTGGTTTCTTCGCGAGGAACGTGTCACCGTGGTCATTTTTATTTCATGTCTGTTCAGGAACAGGAGATGGGGAGAATGTGTGTTTCTGTGAGTTTTCAGTGTGTGTGTGTTGCGGGGGCCTCGTGATGCTTTTACTCTTCACATTGACTTGTTTTGTCACCGGATATCCTGCAAGTACTGACATTACAGCCACATGGGCGCTCTGCATTAATCATGACCGTAGTCTCACCATCAGTCTGTTTTAGCCGTGCACAGAGGCGACTTGTTGCTTCGTCTTACGGGTTGCTACACCTCTTTGTGTGCACTTGTTGGGGATGCAGCGGTACACGTAGTCGTGCGGGAGGTTTTCGGTTTGGCACAGGCGTACACTGCATGTGTCTCCGCAGGACTCAATTTGAAACCCCATGTTCCTCCCTTTAGCAACTTTAGCAAAAGGACCACATGTTGTTCAGCCCATGTGCACAGTGCAGCCTCGTAGTTATGGCGACCGCGGACCAACCAGAGTTTAAAGACCCTCCACTATCATGAAACTCTGCTGGTTTCTTGCTCGACTACAATGACGATGGATCAGGCGAATGCCGGCTTTGTTCACCTGCGACACCAGTGGAACAAGTGCAGTGCTCCTCGTGGTATTAAAGCAGCCTCTTGGTAACAATTCAGACCAAACCAAAGTGTTTTTAAAGCAGTGGAGATGCAACCATACTCTGAAAGTCATCGAGAACCAGTTCCAGAACATTTCCGTACTCAGCCCCATGTCCATATTGTTGGTGCTGGTGTGTATGCGTGTGTGTGTGTGTTGAGTATGAGTGTGATATTGTTTGTTTGTGCGTGAGGGAAGGGTGGGAATGATTTTAAGGTGATTTTAATCTGTAAAGCACTTTGAATTATATCTAGTATGAAAAGCGCTTTATAAATAAAGATTGATTGATTGATTGATTTCAACCAGCAGATCAGCCCTTTACAAGCCAACACTAGCTACAGTCGTCCAGAACTTATCAAATGCATCTGCTGTCGAATGCTAATGCAGTTTAAGCACGGTTAATTTTCTAAATTCTGCCCTTTAGTGGGCGTTCAATTTAAGTTATTAATTGGAAAAAGTATATATTTTTAAATGACTTTTGTAAATTCTCTATTAGTTGGTTGCAGCCAGTTGCAGCAGTGTTGACCAATATGGCCGTCCAGTAAACCAGCATACATCTACCAAAGACGAGCTAAACCATGACCTCGACCAAACCGTGGTTTTTGTGTCCCATCACACTTCTAACATCTGTTGCTGACCGATCCTTAGCGATGGATTGCTGTCAAGGAATGTAACTGACTGAAGCAAAACACGACTCCCAGAACTATATTTCCCAACCTCTTGTTTCTTGTGAATCACTATTTCATAGCACAACTGGACACAAAATACATGTGTTTAACTTGGGAGCTGCTCAGGTTCAGCTTCTTATGATAGTTTTAGATGTTTGGAACACAGAAATTCAAAGTAATCAGTTGACAGAAAATCAACTTAGATTAATAGCTACTTCCTTTGGATTTGTTGGGTGTCTCTCAGTAATTTTGCAACATCTTCAACCTACTTGCTATGTGAAGTACATTGAGATCACATATGTTGTGAATTGGTGCTGTATGTCTTCAACTAAACCGGTGACTTGCTGTAAATGCCAGAAAGCTTCTCGTTTTAGCTTCAAGTGTGAAGATTCTCTGCTTTTTCCTTTTCTCACGTGGTTGTAAATCTTTTTGGTTTGGCCGATTTGGCTGTTGGGATATAAACAGACGAAAGAAATGTGAGAAAACAAAATATGAAGATGATAATCGATTAACTATTTGGTCAAAGAAACAACTGAAACGTGTGGTTTTGTCGATTTAAAGCCAAAATATGTTCCGTTAACTGAAACGCAAGACAAGGAGAAGATTTAAATTGTCACATATGAGAAGGTGGAACAATCAAAGGTTCCTTAAAAAGTAACAATGAACAGTTAATTGTTATTATTTTGTTTGTTTATTGATTAACTGACTCAGCTCTAATTTAGACTTAAGACTGACTTTGTTAATCCCAGGAGGGAAATTCAGTTGTTAAAGCAGTAATATTCAACAAAGCAAAAAGACAACACAGAATATTAGGGCAGGGTATAACATGAAGGTTAAATAAAGTAAAATAAAATAAGATAAAAATATAGAAAATATAATATTACAATTTTTTTGCATCTGTGACTTGCAGACTCTGTGGAATTATGATGAACCTTAACTTTATTTTGACATTTTATAGACGCAATTAATCAAATAGTTGAGAAAATAATCTGCAGATTAGTGAAAATTATTGTCATTTGAAGCCTGTTTATGATATGTTTCACAAGGACAGCAAAAGAAAAACTAATAATGTTTACTTGAAGGGGTTTCGACCTCCATGTTAGCCACCACTGCTGCTGACTTTCCCTCCATCGCTACATCCGACCTCATATAACCCACAGACAGAGTAACATCTGACAGTTTTATATATCTGCAGCCACCTCGCAGATAAGGTTCAAATCACTCTTTTGCAGGTTTGCATAGTAACAAGCAGCAAATAAAAACAAATGCCCGGTGTCACTTGTTTAGCGCGGCTGCTTCTTTTTTTTTGCTTCTCTCTGCTGGATTTTCAAAGTAAACAGCGCTGTGCGATTTTCCGTGGCACCCGTAATGGATGAGGAAGCTGCGGGCCCCCCCGATGCTGCTTTGCCAGTGTGCTGTGTGGTTTTTTTATGTATGCCATGCATTACTCGTTTGAATCTGGCATAATAGAGTTGTTTGACAAGCTGAGCCGCGTGTGGCGAAGAAATCTCGCCTGTCAAGTGGAATCCTGGGAAAAAAAAAAAAAACGTTTATTTCTCAGCCAAACTCCTAAAAGAAAAAGAAAGAAAAAAAGGTACAATAGTTGTGATTAGGCTGTGTTCCAGGAGTGTCAGCACACCAGCGAGCAGATACAGAAAAGATGAATTTTGTTTTCACTGTATGAAAGTGATTGTGGTTTATAGAGTCAGCATGGTGGGGAAGGAGGAGAGAAAAAAAAATGCAGTGAACTCGCAGCAAGGCCAGCTCTTACACTTTTGTGCATTTCCTTTCTTCGATGTGCTAAAAAAGAATAATACAATTACTGCAATGAAAAAAAAAAAAAAAGAGCCGCTTTTCTAAATGCATTTCTTGCTCAGCACAAAGCTGGTTGAAACAAATCTTTCATCTGGCACATGTAAAAATCTTCCACCCACTGATGAAGAATCGTTGCTCGATTCAGCAAAGCAAGGTCGTGAATAAGTGTAATTTACACAAAAATACGCTCTATTGTCGCCA